AGTGAGGAAATTGCAGTGAAACAAAGAAAGGGCTGAAACAGGCAGTAAATCTTCTTAGAAAAATAATTAAATTAAATAGACATTGTTGCCAACTTTCTTAAGCCAATGTGACCATTAAACAAACGACGACTTAAATTTTTAAAAAAATATTGATAGTTTCTGCTGGTTAGAGACAGCTAAAAAAATGAGTGATCATTTGGTTGATGAATACCTGTGTCAGTGAGTGACCCAGGGAAAGCAGACAGTGGTACAAATTGTGGAAACAAGGAGAGTTTAACGTAAGTTTACTTACAAAAGGTAAGGCAGGTGAGAGAAACCTCAAAGAGTAGTTTAGGACCCTGAGCCTAGCAGTGATTGAGGAGGGTGACAATCAGTACTAAGAACAAGGAGTGAGAGTAGGTCCTGGAACTCAGAGAGGGAGGGGGTCTGTAGAGAGAGGTGCCCGACAGGTGCTAGCAGAGAGGGAGGCAGGGGAAGAAATGCCTTGACCACATTTTTCTCTTTCTCACCAATCTCCAGCCAATGCTCTTCACTGGCCAAGCCCAACTATAACAGAAGGCAGAGCAGCAATGCCCATTGAAGCATCTGTAAAGGACACACTCTTGGGTCTCAGAGCAGGGTCAAGAAGAGTGGAGAGCAAATCTGAAGATGCGAATGGGAAATATCCAGCCCAGGGCATATCTGGAGTTTTAACAGAGGTACACATTCTGCATCTCATTTTCTCCACTTGGCTCATGGGTTGGTGGGTTTTTGTACACTGTGGAGCAATACAAGTCCATTCCCACCCACCGATGGGCTTGATACTGTATGTTTCAGAGTATTTGTGGCAACAATGCATTACAGTAAGTGGGGTGGGGACATGATGGAAGGTGTGAGGGATGGGAGACAACCTTTGTAAGTTTCTTGATTAGCATGTGGGTGTAAAGAAATCAGAGATCTAATGGCATAGCAAGATCCACTCAATGAAAGCTCAAGGTTCATGTGCATTGTTAGTGAAGTAGCAGAATATTTGAAGGTAGACTATGATAAATTAAAGATGCATATGGTAATTTCTAGAGCTATGAAGCCCTCCCAAAAAACCTTTCCACAATGATAGAAATGTTCTATATTTGTGCTGTCTAATCGGTAGTCACTTGCCACATAGAACATAGCTCTAGAGTGCAAGGGTGAGTACAAATCTCAAAAAGAAAAAGTTGAATTTTCTCTGGTGCAAAAAGGGAGAGAGACTTTCTCTCCCTTCTCCCCTTTCCTTGAGCATTTACTTTACAATTTGTTAATTCCTCCTCTCTTTGAGATGCAAACCTTTTAAAAAGTAAATGAGCCTTTGCCAGCTTTTTAATCAGAAATGTCTTTCCGAAGGACCTAGGACCATCTCTTTGAAATGTAAACACGGAAGAAGATAGCACCCCTGTCTCCCCATCTCCATGGATGCCTGGCTCCCAAACTATACCTAGCTACCTGTCACAGAGTGCTAAGAAGTTTTATTATTCTTTGGATAAAGGCACTTAGCAAACACAATGGCCACCTTACTTGAGGACAAGTTATCGTTTATCTTGTGAACACATATGTTCTGACTGGCTATATAAAAAGGTGAGAATTTTTTCTGTCTTTGCAATTTCTTTATGGGTTGCCTGTGATACATGTATCACATTCTGGCTTAATACTTATTCAATAATCAAACTGTTTTCTAAATAAACACAAAATTTATATGGAATCCCCAAGATACAGAATAGTCAAAGCCATTCCAAGAAAAAAGAACAAAACTGGAGAAATCAGATTACCTGACTTCAAATTATACTACAAAAGTATAGTAACCAAAACGGCATGATACTGGCATAAAAACAGACTCATATGTCAGTGGAACAGAATAGAGAACTCAGAAATAAATCCACATATTTACAGTGAATCCATTTTTTATAAAGGTGCCAAGAACATACACTGGGGAAAGGACAGTGTCTTCAATAAATGGTGCTGGGAAAACTGGATATCCATATGCATAAGAATGAAATTAGATCCATCTCTCTCATCATATATAAAAATCAAATCAAAATGGATAAAAGGCTTAAATCTAAACATGAAACTATTTGAGCTCCTTATATATTCTCATTCTTAATCCCTTGTTAGATGGGTAGTTTGCAAATATTTTCTTCCATTCAGTGGGTTGTCTCTTCATTTTGTTGATTGCTTCCTTTGCTGTGCAGAAGCTTTTTAGCTATATGTGATCCCATTTGTCCATTTTTGTTTTGGTTGCCTGTGCTTTTACGGTATTATTCAAGAAATCTTTGCCTGGACCAGTGTCCTGGAGTGTTTCCCCAATGTTTTCTTCTAGAGGTCTCAGTTTCAGGTCTTGATTTAAGTCTTTAATCAATAGAGGAGTTACAGTGGAATCCTAAAACACACACTACACAAAAGAAGGCAGGAAAGAAGGAGCAGAGAAATGAAAAAATAAATGGGACAGAGAAAAAATGAATACCAAGATGGAAGGCTTAAACTTACCCATCTGAGTAATAGCTGCAAAACCTTCCATTAAAAGTCAAATTGTCAAAATGGATAAGGAGGCAAGACCCACCCATATGCTGTCTACAAGAAATGAACGATAATTATAAAGGCATAGACAGGTAGAGAGTAAAGGATCTAAAAGATACACTATGGGGATACTAAGCCTGAGAAAGCTGATGTGGCTGTGTAAATAAATGTTAGGCAAAGTAGATTTCAAGACAAAGAATATGTTAAAGAAAAACTTTAGACAAATTAAATTTAACAGAATTTAATTGTGCAAAGAATGATTGGAGAATCGGGCAGCCTCCCCGAACCAGAATAGATTCAGAGCGACTCTGCAATGCTGCATGGTGGGAAAGGGTTTATGGACAGAAAATGGAAAGTGATGTACAGAACACAGAAGTGAGGTACAGAAGCAGCCGGATTGGTTCCACCTCCACATTTGCCCTCTTTGAACATGGTTTGAACAGTTGGCTGCCTGTGAGTTGTTGAAGTATAGATGCTGTGATTGGCTAAGACTCTGCTATTTGTTGCAAGAGTAGGTTACAGACTGTTTACACATCCAGTTAGGTTACTGTTAACTCTGTAGAAAGAAACTTTTAGGCCAAGTTAAAATATGAAAGGAGGTAGCTTTTGGCTAAACTTAACAATTAGATAAAGAGAGACATTTCGTAATGATAAAAGGGTCATTTCTTCAGGAACACACAATAATCCTAAATGTGTGTGTACTTAATAATGCAGGTGTGAAGTTTCAAAATACAGGAAGCAAAAGTAGGAAGAATTAAAGGGGACAATTAGCAAAGCCACAATCAGTAGGAGATTGTAAACCCCTCTCTTTGAAATTAACAGAAAAAGTAGACTAAAAAATCAGCAATGATATAGAGGATTTGAACTACACTAAAATAACGAGACTAAGAAATTTTGCTATGTTAAAGTAAGATTTAATTCTCTGAAAAACCTCATCTCTAAGTAATGTTTGATCAGCAACATTACTTATTGCATTCATAAGTAAATGAACCAAAAGCCTAATTTAGGAATATGTCTGTTACAAATAGCTGAATCTCAGCCAATCACAACAGCTGAGTCTCAGCCAATCACAGGCCGCCAACTGATCAGACCACGTTCAAATAAGGCAAAGGCTGAGCTGTAACCAATCAAGCTGTTTCTCGACCTCACTTCCATTTTCTGTCTATGAATGCTGCCTGCCCACGTTGCAGAGTTCTCCGAACTTCTTCTGGTTTGAGGGCTGCCCAATTTCGTCAATCGTTATCATTTTAAACCCAAGTTGTAACCACCCTTTTGAATTACTCATCCCTGAGTTTCTCCCATGTATATATGAGATGTACATGCTAACAGACTTCCGTTTGTCTCCTGTTAATCTGTATTTTGTTACACAGCTCCAGCTGAACACCTAGAAGGATAAAAGAAAAAGATCTTTTTTCTTCCCCTACAGGGGCAACTCTGATCTTTTCCCTTGTAAACTACGACAAGCAATTAAAATAGCCTCTCAAACATTGGTAGAAGGATTTCATCTTTTTGGGTCAGATATGTGAACCTTCTCCAGCTATATTCAACAGGTTTCTCTAGCGTTACTTTCTGGGCAGACAGCAACCTTCAGTTCCTTAGGAATAAGGTTGCCGGAGTTGGCAAATGGAAATGCAGGGTACCTAGCTTAATTTGAGTTTTAGATAAACAGATACTTTTTTACTAGGGGCTGGCTGGGGCCGGCTGTAAGCAGACCTAATTAAATAACAAAGTCCAAGAAACACTTGCCTTTTGGGTGCTCTCTCCTCTTAACAATCAAGCTACCTATATTCCTTATAAAATATGATAAAGCAATAAAAAGATATGTGGAACAGGTCACTCCAAAGGTAGTCTTTTTATTTAAATATTTTATGATGATACAAATATAATCTCCCCCCAAAAACAAATGTAAAACTAATGCAAATCGCTTTTTCAGGAACAAAGAAAACCATTTAGAAAATGTGATTATGTTCTATACAAGAGACAGGTTAAGTTTTCAAGCCTCCCCAAGGAGGAAGCTTAAGACCAAATTTTGTTTGTTCTGAGTACAGAGGTGATATTTACATTTTCAAACAGTAGTGACATTCCTGTTGCATGCTTGGCAAAATATGACTAAGTCTATAATGAAAAGAAAAAAAAAAAAAAGAAACACAACTATTACTAAGCAGAGAGTAAAAAATTCTACATCGTGGAAGAGTGACCTCCATCTTAGCTAGACTTACAATGTCTAAAAATATTTGCCCTCATCTATACACAGTGGGAGCACACTGTATAAAACCTTTCAACAATATTTTTAAAAATGTCTACAAAAGTAAAATTTGAAAGTTTCATTTCCCCAGCAAAATATCTTAAAAGTCAAGAAATTAGTCTTTAAAAAATTATGAAAACTATCGTGGGAAATACTTATATAAATTATTACTTAATTTATCTTGAAACATTGTTTCTAGGAGCAGTAAAATATAATCTATTGAGGACCTACACGACCCAAATAACTTGTAAAAAAATAAGGTGTAAAAAAGAAGGGCAAGGATGTTGTGCAAAATCAGGTCAATTGTTTGAGGTTTTTATAACACAGTATTTACTAGTTATGTAAGCCCATCAATGACTTTGAGATATCAGAATACAATCATAGTTTCACACACAAAATTATAGAAATATAAAGTCTTTTGATATTTTTGGCAATTGTAGGTAAAAGAGAATGGTTTGTACAACTCAGTTTAATTCCACAAATATCTATTTGGCACCATGTTAGCCACTGAGGATATATAGCAGTGAAGCAAGCATGGTTCCCTGCCATGACTAGAGAATCTGCTTGGTTAATTTAGCTGCTCTAAATTGTAGCTATTAAGAAGATAATGTATCCTGAGTTTTTTTATTCATGGCATATTACTATCAAAAGTAAAATTATTTTGATGAATTTTGCCCTAGATTATTCAACTGAATTTGAAGTGTTCAAAATTTTCCTGTTTAAATGAGGTATAATGCTATTTTTAAGACCATACGATATACATGTGCATACACATACATGCATAGTCATGTGCACAGAAACATACAATTTGTGTTCTCGCCATGTCATTGTTCCAAAAATTAATCAACCTCACACAGATTAAAAAGGTTCCAGTCTTAAGGAAAACCAACAACAGAACTGGTAACCCAGATTGTGCATGCATCTTTGGATAACTGACTTGTCGATAATCTGCTAGGTGCAGTAAAATACAGAATATAGAATATCAATGTTAATATGGTATGCAAAGAGACCCAATCAGTCTCTTGGGTTCTCTACTGGATGGCTGATGAACTGGATACAGTGCTAATTTGGTAAGTTCTCAGAAGCCAGATTTATTCTCATTTATCTTGTTTTGTGACTATTATTTACATAAATCACTAAAAGGCACTTAAGAAACAGCATCATCCTATGTCCTCAGTAAATCATGGAGCATTTCAGAAATACATTCATGGGAGCAGAGACAGTGTGGCCCTTTACATATCAATGATTGAGAGAAATTTTAAGCTGTTTATGTGTCTCTGCATGTCTGTTAAGACTCATGAAAAGCCAAGCATATTGAAAACATGAAATCAGTGCCTGTTAGTTAAACTCTGGGTCAGTTTGTGGCTGACTGCTATTTAGGAGTAAGAATGCTGTACCATGCTATGCTTGGTGACTCTGGTGGAAGATGTAGTCATGGTAGAATTAGAATGACCAGATTCCTCTAAACCAAAAGTTGGCAGAGCACCAAGGACGCCAGCTCCAGGGACTAGGGTCTTTCTAGCTTTCACAGAGTCTTCAGCAGGAATCTGGTAACTGGATTGCAGAGTGGAAGCAGGTGCTATTACTCTTTCTGTCACTGTCACATTCTGTCCTACTGCTACATTGGGCATGGCAAGAGTGGGCTGCACACCTGAGCTGGGGGCAAGGAAGCTCTCTCTTTCCTTCACCATAATGTATTGTGCATCCTGCAGAGGTGGGGTGCCTTCCAGAGGATCAGATACACCCCCATTAGGCTGTATTATTCTTTCTGTAACCATGACTTTGCCTTCATTAGCATAATGCTGATCTACCAAGGTAGCAGCTGGAGCATATACCCTCTCTGTCACTATAAGGCTCTGTGGCTGTGTAGGACCCAGGATCACAGTGCTTGGTGGCATAGTAGAGCCTCTGGCATAGGAAGTTTCTGTTACTATAATATTACTAGAAGCCAATGGATCAGGAAGAGGTGCAGCTACCTTTTGAGCCTGCCTAGAAGACATAGATCTTTCAGTGACTATTTCCTGAGTTACTTTCTCTGCATTTGCTTCCTGCAAAGATTTTGGAACTTGAAAGCTACTGCCAGAGGCATAAGTATTCTCTGAATCAACCTTAGTTTGCTCATAGAGTGTATGTGATGCTGCTTTCGTACTTGTTTCTGTGACAGGTTTTTGCCTCTGCTCAATTTGCATATCTGTGTCTATTTTTTGACCTATGCAAACTTCAGCTAGTGTCTTGAATTTAAGTCCCAAATCATCTAAGAAGCGGTCGTCCTGCTCTCCCTCAATAAAACTGCAGCAGCCAAGGGAACCATGCAGGGATTCAGTTTCTTCCTGAGAGTAAACCAGAAGACAATCTTTGGCTGTGTGAATCTCATCGTTCTCAGTGTAAGAGGCTGCTTTCTAAAATGAAAATAAACACAGAGACACACAATTAGCAACACCAAGTCATTTAAAAACGAGACTCTATATTCCTGTTCAAAATGCATAACCTGAATCTAATTACAAGGAAACATCAGAGAAAAACAAATAGAGAGATATCCTACATCATCACCGGCCTGTATTCTCCTTTTTTCTTCCTTTCTTCAGGGCCTGTTGAGCGTCTCAAGGAAAAAGAGGCCACCATAAGGCCAGTCTAAGGTCCTGAGATTTTTCCTCTCTCTCCCCATTACTAAGTCACACAGATGAAGCCAAGTGTGACTGTGCAGAAATGAGAGAGTTTGCCCAGTATTCTTAAAAAAATATTAATATCATAAAAAACAAAGAAAGGTAGAGGGGATTATTTCAGATTAAAGGAGACTAAAGTGTCATGGTAACTAAATGAAATGCAGGATCCTGGACAAGAAAAACAATTGCTATAAAAGATATAATTGTGACAGCTGGTTAAACTGAAATATGGACCGTGTCAATGTTACATCTCTGAATTTGTTAACTGTATTGTAGTAATGTAAGGGAACATGTGTGTACGTGTATGTGTGAGACAGAGAGAGAGAGAATGGAAAAGCAAAGAGTGAATGTGACAAAATGTTAATAATTGGGTAGTCTGGGTGAAGAGTCTACAGGAATTTAAAATTTCTACTATTCTTGCAAATTTTCTGATAACTTTGAAATTATTTCCAAATCCAAAGTTAGTACATACACATACAACCAAGACTGACTTGAGCAGGATTAGAGTGGAGAAGAAAAACATGTCAAAATAAAACAAATAGGATACTAGAATCAAGCTTAGCAATGAGACAGAAAAGGACATGAAGTGGTTTTCCTTGACACTAACCATATCTGTCAAGCTAATACTTGGGGGGTGGAGGATGGTATGAAAGGAAGGGTGGAAAAAAGTGGGAAAACACTCTAGTAAACACTCCTGCAAATTTAGAACAGAGGGGACAGAAATAAATTGGCTTCCTCAATGGAAGCCCCTCCTCTAGCCTCTAAAGTGCCTTCCAGATGCTAACACTCCAACTTTGCCTATCGCCATGGGGACACAGGGATCTTGTTTTCAAGAAAGGCACCCAGTTCTGTTTTTTTAAAAAATTATCTTTACTGTCTATACAATCTGTAGTAATGTTATTTCATTTCTTATGTCCATAATTTGTGTCTGTACCCTTTATATAATATCTCAAATAATCTGGCTAAGTGGTTTATCAATTTTTTGATCTCTTTAAATAAGCTTTTGGTTTCATTGCTTTTATACCTATTTTTTTTGTTGTTTAATATTTAATTGATTTTGCCTCTCAAATTCATGATTATCTTATTTCTCCTTGCTTTGGTTTTAATTTGCTCTTCTTTCTGTAACTTTTTAAGGGGGAAGCTTAGATTGCTGATTTGTGACCCATCTTCTAATATAATCACTTTTGCTATAAATTTCCCTCGAAGCACTGTTTTAGCAGTGCCCCCCCAAAATTTGATAAATAAAGTGTGATTTAATTTTCAGTCATTCAAAATGTTTTCTAATTGATCCTGTTATTTTTTTTTCATATATTCACAGGGTATTTAGAAAGGTGTAATTTACAAATATTTGGATACATCTCTTTGTTACTGATCTCTGGTTGAATTTCTTGTCTCAATGACTGCAATTCTTTTAAATTTATTTATATTTATTTTATGTCTTGGCATAGACTCTATACTGAAAAGAATGTGGATTCTGTTTTTGTTGCAAAAGGTTCTATCAATGCCTATCAGATCCAGTCAGTTAACAGTGTTGTTATGTTTCTTACATCTTACTGATTTTCTGTCTACTTGTTCTTTCAGTTATGAATAGAAGAGGTTGAACTTTCCAACTATAATCATCGATCTGTCTATTTCTCTTTTAGTTCTAAGTTTTTGCTTCAAGGTTTTGAATTTCTTTTGTTAGGTACTGACGTATTCAGGAGTGTTAGGCTTCCTGATGAATTGACCCATTCTCTGAAATATCCCTGATTATTTCTGGTAATAATCCTTGTTCCAAAATGTATGGTGTTCCTGTGTGACACTTTTATTTTTAGTGCTGTTTCTAACTGCTAATCCCAGGCATGAGCTTCCTTACTGCATCTGATCATCTTTCCTGCAACTCTCCTCACCATTTTTTTGGTGAACTCTCTTGATAGTGAAGCCAAATACTCTCATACAGAAGGTGAAATTCAAGTGGACTTAATATTAGTAGATTGTGTCTTTTAGGTCATGTATTCTCTGCCCTTCCTTACTGGGCTCATCCTATCAAGCCTGCTCCTGTAAAGGGATGGAACTTTCTGACCCACTGACATCTGTCTTAGGCACATAACTTCCTTTGATCAATGAAATATGAGTGTAAACAGGTGGAAGCTTTCAGGGCCACTGTCTGGTTCTGCCTTGTTCTTTTCCCTGGGCCACAAGGACAGCAGTGTCCCAGGTACAATCTGCTCTCTCATTGTGCGTCTTGGAATGAAGACAGCCTGGAGCAGAGCAGAGCAGAGCCGACCAGCAAAAACACAAATGTAAGTGAGAAATGCAACTTGTGAGAACTAACGTTGTGGAGTCTCCTGTTATCACAGTGTAATAGCTGTGTTTAGCTATACTGACTGATTCAATGGGTGTATCTCTTATTGCCTATAAGCATTCCCTTAAAAAAAACACGAACCCCCCCCAAAACTCCCAGAGTCTCATTTAGATCCAAGGCAGTGATTATCCTAATAATATCACATCCATATATAAATGGTTTTTTCCCCCATACATAAAAATCAATCCTTACATCAGTGAAATAACTTCTTAAGAATTCCTCGTTCACCGCACCAGCAGCTACTCGAGCTCCGACCATGTCTCTGGAAGCCCCGGCGGCTCGTGTGGTCCTTACGCTTTCAGCACCCGTGACAGCTCCTGCTGCCCCTGTAACCTGGGCAGCTCCACTAGTCAGAAGGCTTCTCTGTTCTTCCCATCGTCCCTCCATCTCGGACATCTCCTGCTGCCCCTTGGTAAAGGACGCAGAGCTACTTCCTTTCACAATGGCTTCCCTGGTTATACCTCCGACGCCATTTCTTACTGCTAGACTGTCCCCTTGATCCACTGCCAGGAGCGGCAGCACCACCTGTGAGAACACATACGGTTGAGCACTGAATTAGAAGGCAGGAGGGTTGGTGCAGCTGCTGGAAGAATCTGAGCCGAGTGGGCACAGGTAGGGATAAGCTGGTTCCACAGAGGCCAATTAGAAAAAGTGCTGTGGGTTGAATAACTTTGCTCTGTCACCCAAGCTCAAGTGTAGTGTGGTCATAGCTCACTGTAATCTCAAACTCCTGGGCTCAAGTGATCCTCCTGCCTTGGCCTCCTGAGTAGCTGGGACTACAGATATGTGCCACCACACCTAATTTTTTCTTTTTTTTTTACTATTTTTTGTAGTAATGGGGTCTCATTATGTTGCCTACACTGTTCCTGAACTCCTGGCCTCAAGAGATCCTTCTGCCTCAGCCTCCTGAGTCACTGGGATCACAGGTGTTAGCCACAGCTCCTGGTAGGTTGAATAATTTCTGAGTCTTGTGAAGATCTCTCTCCTTCCACCTTCTCATTCACAGGTGATTACAGCCCAAGGAGGAAACAAAGCTCACACATTCACATATAGTCTCCGCTCCTTCACTCCACTGGCACCAGTGGCATTTCGACCTTCCTCTGGAGTTTGGTCCTTTCCTCTATGGTTAGACAACTCTTAATTTCGTTTTAAGCTGGATGCATGGCCTCCCAAAATAAAGACTGTATTTTCAAGCCTCTGATGCTATGAGGTATAGCCACCCGACTAAGTTGTGGTCAATGTGAATGGAGCAGAAATGGTGTAAGCAACTTCTGGGAAGTGTGCTTAAAGAGCTGTTCTTCACTCTCCTCCCATCAGCTGGCTGCAGTGTGGGGACAGCAGCCAGTATCTGGAACACGAGGATGGTATGGGAATGGAACTCATCCATGGAGGAGAAACAGGAGGAGCCAGGAGGCACGTTGTGGAGGAATCGTCATGTTGATCCTGGCCTGCCCACGTTCATGTTTACATCACTGTTATGAAAATGACAGTTGATGCTAAATCTTACCCCATAAGAAAGGATGCTCATGGCAGATGGTGGTGAGAGGTCCAGGGTGAAGATGCAATAGAGAGGCAAAGGGAAATGGCTCCTAAGTGGTTGGAAAAGGGGATTTTGCAATGTTTTACAAGTGCCATGGGGGTTGTGGGTTTACCTCTGCCAGCCCTATGTATAGAGGGAACGGAGACAGGGAACTTCCTGGCTGTGGAAGACTCCCCATTTAATACTGGGACAAACAAGTCTATCCCAAATCTCTACACACTCTTGTTCTCCCTGACCCTTGCTCTACATTCTTTGAACACAGGACATGTTATAGGAGAATATAAAACCATCTCCACTCTGCCCTGTCAACAAACAAAAAACATGTCATTTGAACCCTGTGTTTAACAAAGGCACGTGAATGAAATCTGTAATGACCACTTTACTCATTCATGATCAGAAACGTTAGAAACATTTCCCAAGGCCCTTTAAAACCCCAAAAAGAAGACAAGTTATATTGACATCTGAAGACCTGACCTTGTCTTCGGGTGGCGCCCCTTCATTGTTCCAAGGATGCAGCATCTCTATCGTGCCAGGAATGGGGGTAAAGCCTTTGGCGCCCTCTCCACAATGGCATGTCAGAAGTAGAAATGGTATAACTATACAGACACAAAATTGAGTAACAGAGAAAGTTAATCCTGGCAAATTTCTAAAATTATACTGCATAACTTTGGAATTTGCATATCATTTCCTGGAGTTGTCTTCACTTATTTACAGCTCTATTTTTCCTTTTTGGAGACGAGGTCTTGTTCTGTTGCCTAGGCTAGAGTGCAGTGGCATCATCATAGCTCACTGTGGCCTCAAGCGATCCTCCTGCCTCATACTCCTGCGTAGCTGGACTACAGGTGCGTGCCACCACACCTGGCTAATTTTTTAAATATTTTGTAGAGATGGGAGTTTCACTGTGTTGCTCAGGCTGGTCTTGAACTCCTGGCCTCAAGTGATCTTCCTGCCTCAGCCTCTCAAATTGCTAGGATAATAGACATGAGCCACTGCACCCAGCCAACAGCTCTATTTTTCCTTTCTTCACCCCGATCCAACCTTACCAAGCTTGTTTCAGGTGAGTTACACCAAAGCCTGACATCAGGATGAGAGAGTCCTACAGATTTGAAGGCCTCGTTCATCACAAAGAGGCTGTCTACAGTTACTAAGTGGAATACCAAGACTGGATTAGGTAGTATCCAAATCACCGAAACCAATTTAAAGATTAATTTTCTTTTAAAACCACTGTTCAAAATTTTTTTTAATTCACTGTCCACAAAAAAATGTACTATTAGAAAGATCAAAAGCTCCTAAGAGTAAAAAATCTTAATATATTACAGTATTTGAGAACGCTGAAACTGCTATAATACTTCACCCTAGAGTAAAATTTTGCATAAGGTGTGACTCTCTGAGGTCCCACCTAACCTTTGAATCACCTAAGGATTTTCTAAAGTGATTCTATGTTAGAATATATATAACATTTCATCTAGAATTAAATATAACTTCAGAGATCCCTCCTTAAATCTTATTCTACCTCTAGGAGGAAGAAAAGACCCTTGATCAAGGCAGGAAAGAGGCTGCCACTCCTATCTGGCAGCTTCTAATGATGAACTGACTACCATCTAGATTTCTTTTTATGTAAAATAGTCAACAGCATGGTAACTATAGCTATTGTAATTAATAAAAAGAGTGGAATCAGTCAGTAGCAATTGAACAATTTCAACAAATTCAACAAATATGAATTAAGTATCTGTTATGTGCCAAGTGCCACACTGGTCTCCAGGGAATCTGAGATGAGAAGGCAGTGGAAGGAATCCTTGGGTAAAAGAAGCAGTCCTAGCTCCAGTACCTACCTACAAACATGGCAAGCTGAGACAAGTCACTGACCATTAAGTGTCTGTATTTCTACCCACAAAATGGAGATAATGGTATAAAAGTACACTGTAAACTGTTGAGTGCTGCGTATTCAATTGAATATCTACTAATGGCTCTAACAGGCTCCTCTTCTGTCACTGAAATAGCCTAGGCTCCCTTGGAGGTGGGTCCTCTGCCCAACTTTAGTGGTCAAGTGGAGTGGTATTCCATGTGACTCCAGGTTGCAGTCCCTTGTTCTCTCATGAAAGGAAACCTGAGCCTTTGGAGGGCAGGCAGGACTGGTGGAGAACATTTTGTCAGTGTTGCGAAGCATAAATGTGCTCAGAGGGTCTGACTACTGGGGGCCCTGGTGCGGAGCAGGAGCATGGGGTAGTGGGCAGGCAGAGCTCTGACAAGTTGCATGTGCAAAGCAAGGATCGATTGGAATAAGCTAGGTTTGTAAAATAAGCTCATATCCATAATCCAAATTCATGCAACAGGTATTTTCTGAGCCTGCCATGTGCAAAGCTCTGTTCTAAGGTACCAGAAACACAGCCGTGAAGAGAACAGACAACATGCTACCCTCACAGAGCTCATCAAAATAGGGACACCAACAACGTTTACGCCAAAGGTAGCTGAAGAGCACGCCTGACTTCAGTTATTTAAATCAGAAAATGATACATATTTATAAAACAAAATTCTGAAGGGTCCTACAATAAGCTTTGGTGAATTTATCAATCATCAAGTATTGCTTCCCTATTCACCCTCAGAAGCATTCTAATGTGGTTAAAGAATAATTGTGAAGGAATCAATGACTACAATAGCGACAAATCACTAGTAGTGCACTCAAATCACTAAAAGAGCTCAAAAGTGGCTTCGAAAGACTCACGTAGCAAGAGCAGAAGGGCCAAAATCATGAGTGCAATTGCTGCGGGTCCCAGGCCCACAGAGGAGCTGTGAAACGCTTCTGCGCAGCCGCTGCCGTCCAGACAGTCACACACCGTGAGCGTGAGGATCTGCTTCTCGGGGCAACTAAAGCCCTGATTATCCGCAATCAGGAACTGAATTTCATGTCGCCCAAGCTTTTGCTCGCTTTGTTGCAGCAGCACACTGGTACCTATAATGGCAGGATGCAAAAGAATATAAAAATGAGTGATTACCAAGGAAGGGGCAAAATGAAATTACAGAAATGTTCTTTCATTACTGATAATAGTTAGCTCCAGTTAAGCTTTCATCTTCCTTCCCTTCTCATTGAATTCACATTGTGTGCTTGCTGAAATTTGTCCATAGATCCTGAATATGCAGCTTCAGCACTAAAGTATCAGATCTGGACACCTTATTTTCATGATGCAACCAATGTGTGTGGTCTACCAAAAATGGTCTACATACTGGGAATACAGTGACAAGTGTTGAGTTAAACAGCATGTCCATGGAATGACTTTATCTTACCATTTCTTTTTTTTTTTTTTTTTTGAGACAGAGTCTCACTCTTTTGCCCAGGCTAGAGTGAGTGCTGTGGCGTCAGCCTAGCTCACAGCAACCTCAAACTATCCTCCTGCCTCAGTCTCCCGGCAGCTGGGACTACAGGCATGTGCCACCATGCCCGGCTAATTTTTTCTATATGTTTTTAGTTGTCCAATTAATTTCTTTCTAATTTTAGTAGAGACGGGGTCTCGCTCTTGCTCAGGCTGGTTTCGAACTCCTGAGCTCAAACAATCCACCCACCTCGGCCTCCCAGAGAGCTAGGATTACAGGCGTGAGCCACCGCGCCTGGCCTTTTACCATTTCTTAAAAAAACTTTAAGTCAAATTTTAAACACAGACAATAGAAGATCATAACCCCATGGTACCTATCTCCAGCTTTAACAGTTTCCAACAATGGCCCAATCTTGTTTTATCTAGTCTCTTCCTTTTTGTTTCCAATACTGTATATTCGAAATTTAAAAAAAATTAAAACCTACAGAAAAGTTGAAAGAATATCACAATGAACATCAATAAACCCTTCACTAATTGTTCACAATTTTCAACATACTTTTTCTCCCTCTATACAGCCACTTTTTTTTTGGAACTATTTCAAGGTAAGTTACAGATAGCATGAAATTTTTCAGCATGTACCTTCTAATGCCAATGGTTACTAGCACTCTTAAGAAATTTATTATTGACATAATACTATCTATTAATAATATAGAACTCAATGTGTTTATAAGTTAAATTTATTGGAATTTTAGAGTATAAGGATCATAGGGAAGTTTTACTTATTAATGCAGATCATTGAAATACATAAGAAAATCAAATCTACTAAATCTATATAAATGCAGTTTGAAATGGTAAAGGTATTTAATTTGGGAATTGGACCAAACATTATTCAAAGCCTCTTAAAATTATTTAAAATATTTGCTGAAATTAAAATAACATAATAAACCTGTGAATTAAGAGAAACTTGGGCGTTGCATTTGAAACTTTTCTGAAATGAACGCTAATTGTTTAAAACAAAATAGTTTTCTGGACAGACTTTTCCGTATTCAAAACCATCCTAAAGGACACCTAAAAACTCACATCAACACATCATCTGGTCCACATGTCTATATGTCCAAGATAGGGACATATGGACATGTCCACTGGCATGGGGCATATCAGACAGATAAAGGGTCTTTATCATGTCTAGCTTTGTGACTTTGAGCAAGTAAGTTACTTACCTCTAGTCAAGCCAAGGTGTCCCCAGCTTTAATCAGGGAATAATGTTATAAAGTAAGGACTAATATGACAATATATAGGAAGGGCTAGCAGAGTGCCTGGCATATAGTCAGGGCTCAGTAAATGTTATTTTAAATGGAATTATTGTCCAAGATTTTTAGAAGGCACCTACTATGATTGTTGTGCTTCAAAAGGCTTGCTACTCCTCACTTTATGAGACAAAATTACTTCAAGAGCTATTTGGAGAATACCCAGCTACATTCGAGACATTTTAGGTTAGTTTTCTTCTCTCCAAAGGCATACAAAAAATACTAATGATACTATGAAAGATCTATATGTCTACAAGATCAGAACTTCATATTATAAATTCCTTTAAAAGTTGTACTGGAAATATACTTTATGAGAAGAAACACAATCTATGTTATAAATACTTTAGATATCTATCATGCTTAATATTTGGATTTTAACATAGTCCGATGGTTTTGCTTACTTTCTTGGCGTACTATTTTCCATTTTTCTGCCATTCCGGGTGGTTGGTCAATGACAGAGAAACTGAAAGGCCCACTGTTTGGGTATCCATCCAGGTCCTCCGCAGTAACATTCACATGTGGTACATCATGACAGATAGTCTGCACTGGGTCCACTAGTGTGGGACAATTGTCATTGACATCTTCAACCATGATCCTGACAGTGCCAGTGATGGTTTTTCTTGGATAATCTTAAAAAAAAAAAAAGAAAAAGTTTGTATATTCTGATCCTATTGCTGACAATGGATATAGTTTGAATTTTCTTGCCAATTTGGTATGAAAAAGGGACTAACCACTTAGGATACTTCTATCTTAGAAACGTTTTCTATTTAGACCAAGTAATACCTTTTAATTCACTAAATGTGAAGGTTTATTCATTAGTGAGATTAGGCTTTTACACATGATCAAAACAAAGTTTTCTGATGTTGGAAAATAATTATCTAAATACATATAACTAAGAAAAATATCCATTTAATAACTTACCTTCTGATATAGCCATAATCTTTACAGTGTATGTACCATTTTGGACATATCTAGATTCAAAATCAGGAATTTTTGCAAGTTTAATTTCAGATGTGGCTGAATCCACAGAGACCCAATTGTCCATATCTTCCAATTTTGCATATCTGTTATAAAACAAATATAAAATTAATTTTGAATTCTGGATAAATTGGGACTCTCTAACATCTACAACTCTTTGAAGCTTAATTTTCTTCTCATTACATATATTCTTGTTATAGGCATTTGTTTTAAATGTTTCCAATTTCTTGAAACTTAAAAACATCCATCCTAAAAGCCCTTCTCTTTACTGCATATCACACTTACTTGGAATCTTCCTTACTCCTGTAACATACAAGACACATAATTAAGGGTGACCATCCTCAGCCCACTAACCCAGGAGGTTTGTAAGCTGCTCTGCACTCTGTCCTACAGCTTTGACCTAGTCTCCCTTAAATTTGGAGTAAACTTTTGGGGAATAATTTAGTTACACAATAATGACTGGTGGAGATAAATAGTCTTACATTCTATTGTTTATTGGGGTATACCCAACATTTACAAATATCAACTTAAAAAATCAGTGAATGCCTTAAATGGAAGTATCTAAAAATTCTGGAATAATATTATTAGGAGCAATAACTTTCTTTCAGGTAGAATTGGTTAAAAGTGAAAACAATGCTGATAAAATGATTTCTGGGTTTCTTCCCTCAAAGCAAGGAGAATTAGTGTGGAAAGAGCCAACTTTGGGAAGCCAAGGAGAATATTCA